ACAACAAAAAAATGACCTCATCTGGTCCAAACCCAGGTTCTGGGCCCGAGAACCTGGGTTTGGGCCAGACGTGATAATTTTATGTGTTTTGGGGGGGAACCCAAGAAAATATGCTGCCTGCGTTGCCCGCCCCTGGGCGCAGCCCCTTAAATAACCCTAGATAACATGGTAGCTTCCATTCTATTTTCCATTCTCCCAATATAATATAAACCCAATATACTATAGTAGCTTCCATTTCATTTTCCATTATCCCAATATTGGTAGCTTCCATTCTATTTTCCATTGTCCCCAATATAACCCCAGCCACGGCCTCCTTCTGCTTCTCCAGCGAGACCTGCTCCGCAGCAGTGGCCTTCTTCTCGGCCTTTGCATGCTTTCCGTTCTGCTTGCAAACCTCCTGCATTCTCGGGGATGCTGTTCAATCTTACATGCTTTATCCTCCATTTTCATAATGCTACAGAAACAACCCGTTCAAGAAGCTTTGCTCAAAAGGTGGCCTGCAATCTGTGTCCCGGGGACATCTTGAAATCATTTTTTGTAGCAGGAACTTTGGACCCAGCACAGTTTGAAAAGCGCATAAACCTATTTATAGTGCATCTGAGTTATGGGGGCAAATGAATCTTAGAATTACTTTCACACCTCTTCTTGTTTGTGTCTATCGCAAAGCTGTCTTAACCCCCGCGCCTCAGCCTTGGCCTGTTCCCTTGCGCGTGCCCGGTCCATGTCCCTTGCCGGATGAAGGGCTCTTCCAGATTTGGTAGCAGGCTAAGCAGTCTCTAAGCAGAGTCAACTAGTCACGAGCCTGACGATCCGAACACTGTGGGGGAGGCTACCACTTCTTCTTGATGTCCAACATCAGTCATATGATATGTTATCATGACTACCCTTTCTGCCAACATTTCATTCCAAGCGCTGCAGCTTGCGAGTTGTTGGAAGAGTCTGCGGATCTCTGCAGTTGGCCTGAGCTTTAAGGTGCTTACTTCTTACGGGTCACTGATCAATCCCTGCAAGCCTGCCTGAGTGTTGGTGCTGCAGAGGGCTGCGGTGGACCTCGGTGTCACCCCCAATGGCGGTGGCGTCAGGATGTTCGAGCATGAAAAGGCCATGCTAAAACTATAGCCCTGATGGCGGTGCAGTCGTGATGAAGAGGCGGTTACCGACGCCGGAGGCAGCGGCGCCACCGCCGCCGCCGCCGCCGCCACCGCCACCACCACCACCACCAGAACCAGCACCAGCGGCAGCCGTACCTAGAAACACCCGCAGGTGGTGCAGGAGGGCAAGATGTGAGGCAGTGTCCTTGTGGTGGCAGTAGTTGTCGCCCTCGTGGGAGTAGTCGAAGTTGTAAGTGGAAGGTTGTAGGGGTCAAGTGCCAAGCTCGCGGCCGGGCAGGGCCAGTAAGCCTTGATTAGAATCGCCCTCATTGGTCCTCCAGACAGCACATCTACGCACCTCTCGCGTCGGTTCTGAAAAGCACATGTTGGACAACCCGCTGAGTAAGGCCAATCTAATCCATTTCCTCCGTGCAAGCTGGACTACAAGACCCGCTGTTGCCTGGATCAGCTTGCAAACACTCGTGGGCATTCTCACATGGGTCCTTCGGCCTCCAGGGTAGTCCTGGCAAGACACCACGCTCTAAGCTCAAGCGCAACATCAAGCGTCCATCGCATGTAAGGTGGACTGGGATCAATCCACTGTCTAGTCGATATTTTCTTCAGGGTTGGGTCCAACTGAGCCCAATAAAACCTGACTCTTCTGTTAATCGTACGACGATCGCGAAACCGGTCTAAGCGGCTCTGTCTGGATGATTTCCTTTCGTGGAAGAAGTCCGATGATCAACGCTTGCAAACTTAAACTGTCAGCACAACATGCAGAAACATCAACATGGCCCTAGATCTGATTCTTCCGGGTCGGGCCCTCAAGCCGGAAACCGGGCAGAAATCTAAATCCCTCTCCGGAAGCCGTCAACTTCCTTCCGCAAACTTCTTAACCCCCAACATTGCGCCCACAACCCCAAAATCCCGAAAGTCTGGCGGGGAGCCTGCAACATTGGCTGACGCCCATCAGGAGCTTTCGCGTCGCGCCTGGCGTGAAGTTTTTTGCGGATCCGGATCCGCATTTACCCCAAGAACAACCGGAGACACTTGAAATTTGAAAATGCACCATCGGTCGCCATCCATTTGGATCAGCCCCCGAGTGTAGGACCGACATGATTTACCCTACTCCACTGGCGGCATTTAAAGGAGGAAGTCAAGGAGTGCTCAAAAGGAGCGGGTCTCAGGAAGAAGCTATCCAGTCATAAGCTGTCATTGTGCATCTTGGTTCGCGAAGAAAGCGCTTTCGAATCTGACTAATTACATATGCTCACATTGCTGCATGGGCCTCTGGACGAATTGAATGCTCCTCTTCACAGGACATCAATTGTGAGAAGCGCCTGGCCTGTCTTGCACCTGCGCATGACCTCAGCAGCTCCGTTTCTACTTCAGACGCTGACTGGAATTGAAGCGAAATGCAACAACCAACCCCGAACACTAGCTGGGACATGTCCGTGATGTGTGTCATCATGAATATCGATGGCAAAGCCATTGTGCCTACCTGACTGACACAACGCTGGAGATGATGCTTGTCAACCATCAGGGGAACTAATTACCTTCAATTTGGGTCCTTGGGGACCTGCATCGCCTCCTGTAGACTGCTCAACGTTCCTTGTGACGGTAGACCCGCATATCGACCCTCAAATGCCACATAATCCTCGTGTTTCTCTAAACAGGGGACCCCAGATGACCCCAGTATAGAACCTAAAAAACTATTGAATATTTTAATCCTTATGAAACACCAGATACGCCTCTGTGATGAGCCCATGCTTTGGGGCCCCAACTTCGAGATCGGGTCCTGACCCGCATAATTTGTCTTTGGCATGCGCGCAAAGACCCATGAATACTAGATTGCCTTCCCTTACACAGCAAAATTTCCGCTGTTGCAGATTAATGGGGCTGAACCCCATTGATTGTTGCCCTACCGGTAGAATTTCACAGGGTTGCTTACAAGTATCCACCTGCTGTGCTTAAGCCTGGCATGGCGAGGCATAGCCTGCTATTGATTTCGTGAATCTTTGATGAGCGCGGGCCACATTGAAATGGCATCACATGTGTGGCAGGATGTTTTGTTGTTCGCAAATTTACGTGGGACATGTTTGCGGTTTGGCTCAGGAAAGGATTTGATCACTTCACGATGGTTCTGCAGCCAGAGATGCACCAGACTTTCGCCATTGCAGCACAGCATGCTCACCCTACAACTGGGATCCTCACAAGGAAGCGTCTCAAAATTCCAAATCCCCATACATCCCCTTATACTCTTCTTCCTTACGTCTCGGCGGGGCTCACAGTAGTCCTGTCTGTCCGACTTCTTCTGTCACTCTCGCGCGTCTGGCCAGCCTTCAGAACTCGATGACACAACCATGCAGACTCATCCAGCTTAGTTTGAGGTATCAGCAGCAAGTCAGATGTGTAGTGTCAAGAATCCTGCAGAGCCTACATCTATCTTTCTTTCCACGCATACACAGACATACAGACAGACACATGGCTCAAGGCCTCCTGCCAGCGCTCCTCGCCGCGGGGGCGCTCCCCGCCTACATGATGAGTGCAGCCCGGTCTTTCTGCATTGAAGACACAAAACGCAGAAAGGAACTCACACCATGCCCTGCCTCGCCGGTCGTCACGCCGCTCTTCGTATCTCCGATCATCTCGGCGCTCATCGCGGCGTTCGTCGCGCCGCTCATCCCTTCGCGCATCTTGCCGACTGCCGTGGTGAGAAGCATCGTAGTGCCTGGAGCTCTGCTCTTTGGAAGGATCACCGCGGTAGTATTCTTGCCGGTTGTCCCACCGCGATTCCTGAGGGCGTGCCCCGTATCTGTCATCACGATGCTCCGGATACCTGTCATCCCTTCGCTCTCCTCTGCGGTCGCCTTGCCTGTCGTCTCTCCTTTCATCTCTTCTCTCATGCTCCCGATCATCCCGCCGTTCATATCTGCGATCCTCACGCCTGTCATCGCGGCGGTCCTCCAGGCGCACTTCTCTGCGCTCATGGCGATCATCCCGCCTTTCTCGCATTTCACGGTCTCTTCGGTCATCTCCGCGGTCATCTCTTCGGTCATCTCTCCTGTCATCTCTCCTGTCATCTCGCCGATCTTCTCGGCGATCGTCTCGACGATCATCACGACGGTCGTCACGACGCTCATCTCGGCGCTCATCTCGGCGCTCATCTCGGCGCTCATCTCGTCTCTCATCCCGGCGCTCATCTCGCCGCTGATCCCGGCGATCCTCGCGTCGATCTTCACGTCGATCATCTCGACGTTCGTCTCGTCGCTCTTCACGTCGCTCATCTTTCCGCATGTCGTCTCGACGCTCAGGTCTCCGCTCCTGCAGGATAGGGCTGCTCAGTTGCCACAGCATGCCACAGTCAACTCGTGCAAAACGAGGTGTGCTGAGGCCTTGGCTCGCTGATCTTCCCGAGGTCTGTCCTAGCCACGAACATCTGTGCTTTCTCTCTGCACGCTGGACGACTGAACTTTGCGCCTGTCGTCCATCCGAATCTCTGGCAAGCTTTTCCTGGCAGCTCGTCAAGTTAGGCAAAAAAAGGTGAGGGCACATGCATGGGTTTCCGAAAACAACGGCATGCGGCCTCCTTCTCGACTGCAGTGCGAACGGCCGTCTCAACCTGAGGCCCATGTTCAACAGAAGCTACCCAATCTCGAAAGATGAGTGTGCCAATGATCCGAAAGCAAACAGTATGTCTCTGATCCAGCCTGGAAGGGACCAGAAGCGTCAGGGGCCTGCTAAAGCACAGCTGGCTAAAGCAACAGCACATCACATCTGATCCAGCGCCCTTATTGCAAAGAACTCCTAATAAAAAACAACAATAATCAAAATCATGAGAATAACAATAACGCTCGGCCGGAGCGTAAACGCGCGCCGATTCATCGGCACGCAGTAGTAGAGCACAGAATCCACTGCGAAACGCAGTATTTTTTGGAAGCACGCATCTATAAGGAGTCCCGAAAACCTATGTCAAAAAAATGAGAAAATTTACGCGTGGCTTCGCAAAAATACTGTGTTTTGCAGGGGATTCTCATCGGCAGG